TCGAGAGGTAGTTGAGTCCCAGGTTCTCATGCTCCAGGCCTTGGGCACTTGGCTCGGAGGCAGTCCCCTGCCCCGTGTCTTTTCTAATGCTTCTTTCTCATTTTGTTTCTTTTCAGGCATAATACTGCCCCTTCTCTGTCATCGCCTGGAGATGGAGCCTGAATGTTTTTGTTTGCTTTGTGGTGCCAAGTCTCTACCCCCACTCACACGCATACTGACTGGAGGCTGGAAAGTGTGTTTGGGAGGACTTTGCGGCTGGAAGTTGTATATAATGCTTATTTATAGCCTAATTTTTCTCATCTTCCAAGAGGCATCTACATAAAGACTCTTATTTTGATCTACATCAGGCTGAGAACTTTGGTTTTGATGTTAGAACTAAGGAAGAGAGATGTCTCAAAAGGAGAATAATAGAATTGTTTTGTTTTTGTTTCTTGTTTTGTTTTTTTCTCCAGACAGGGCTTCTCTGTGTTGCAGCTGGCTGTCCTGGAACTTGCTCTGTAAGACCAGGCTAGCCTCAAACTCAGAGATCCACATGCCTCTGCCTCCGAGTACTGGGATTAAAGGCATATGACACCATGCTGGGCGACTTATTTTTTGTTTTGTTTTAAATCGAGACAGGATGGCTTGGAACTCTGTAAACTAGCAGTTCTCAACATGTGGGTCAAGACCCCCTTAGGGGTCAAATGAACCTTTCTCAAGGTCACACATCAGATATCCTGCATATCAGATATTTACATTATGATCCATAACAACAAAATTACGGCTTTGAAGTAGCAATGAAATAATTTTATGGTTGGGGGTCACCGCAAGAGGAACTGTACTAAAGGGTCACAGCATTAGGGAAATTGAGGACCATTGAATTGTGAGCCAAACTAGCATCAGATTTGCAGCAGCTTCCTGACTTCTGCTTTGTGCATACTGGAAATTACAGGCATGTCCATCCACTCTGGGCTAGACTTGGTCCTTTGATAGGAAGGTTCACCAGAATGGTTCAGAAGAAGTGTCTGTATTCTGTCAATCATGTTTTAAATAAACGCTGATTGACCAGGCAGGAAGTATAGGCGGTTCAACCAGACAGGAAGTAGAAGCGGGGCTATGAGAACAGGAGAATTCTGGGAAGGAGGAAGCCCATTTCTCCCTAATCCAGCCCAGATCACTGAAGAAGCAAAATGTGACCTGCCCCGCTGAGAAAGATACTGAGCCATGTGGCTAACAAAGATAAGAATAATGGGTTAATATAAGCTACAAGAGATAATAAGTAGCCTGAGCTAATGGGCCAATCAGTTTTATAATTTATGGAGATCTCTGTGTGACTTTCTCTAGAACTAAATGGCTGGGGGACCAGGCGGGAGAGAAACCCCAACGAGCAGGCCCTCATGTTACACCAGAAGTTAGGCTTGTGGTCATGGTGCAGCACAGGGAAAGACAGATTAAAATCAGCCAAGGAAGTCTGCTTTGGTATCATGAGCTTTTATTCCAACACTTGGGAGGCAGAGGCAGGTGGATTGTTGTGTTTTCAAGGCCTCTCTGGTCTTAGTAATTTCCAGGCCAGTCAGGGCTATAAACAGTGAGATCCTGTTTCCTGTCTCAGGAAAAAAGGAAAAAAAAAAGGTGGAGATAAGAGGATCATAACTTCAAGGCCAGCCTAAGGTATATAACAAGAATATTTCTGAAAGACAACAGAAAGCAAATCAAAACAAAAAATAAACATAAAACTCAACCAATTAGAAGGGTATGGGCCAGGATCCATCTGAGTTCCTAGCACACACATCTGGGTGCCCTTGCTGGTGGATCCATGGACGGCAGGGACTTCTGGCAACACAGTGTGATAATGGGTATGGAACAGTGCACAGCAGGAAGCACACCTTCATCCTGGAGCCTGGAGTTTCCGAGGGCTCTTGGTCAGACAGCCATTGGTAAGTTGCTGAACTAACAGAGTGTGGCCCAAGCTCTCACCATCGTCCACATTATCATTGACTGCCTGGTCCATGTCCTCTACTCTACCCCCCCCCACATCAGGAACTATGTTCCCTGGCTTAGAAATACTGCCTCAAAGCCAAGGACAAAGACTGACATCTTTTAGGGTATCAACAAGGTGATATGTATCCTGAGTTTTTTTTATATATGTACCTGAAAGTGACCTTGAACTTTTGATTCACCTGCCTCCTGAGTGCTGGGACTATAGTCCTGTGTCACCATAGCCAGGACTAGGACTTGAACCCAGGGCATTGTGAATGCTATGAAAACTCTACCATCTGGCCACATCCTCTATTAAAACATTCTTCTGTGATTCCCATGGCCTCGGAGTGAAGTCTGTCTGGCTTACACGGTACTGTCCCTGGCTCCAATTCCTGCCACCTCTGGGTTTTGCCTACAAAAACCCAAACCCATCCCCTTTCCTCCTGCAAGTGGTTGTGGAATGTTAGTTTAAGATGTGTTACATCCTTTATGCTGTGGAATATTTGTTCAAAGATGCAAAGATGTATTGCATTCTTGTATGTTGCATTTGTTTATCTCTGTGAAGCTGTGTTGCTTTGCTGATTGGTCTAATAAAGAGCTGAACAGCCAATAGCAAGGCAGAGAGAATAAATAGGAGGAGAAAAAGAAGGGGGAGAAGTGAGGAAAGAAGGAGAGAGGATACCAGGGGCCACACAGCTACACAGAGTAAGAAGGAAAGAAAGACTTACATAAAGAAAGGTAAAAAACTCAGAGACAAAACGTAGTTAAAGAGAAACGGGATAATTTAAGAAGAGCTGACTAGAAGCAAGCCAAGCCAAGGCTGGGCATTCATAAGAAAGAATAAGTCTCTGTGTATTTTTTGGAGAACTGGGCGGTAGGGCTCGTAGAGTGAAAACAAAACCAAACCCCCAACTACAGCAAGCTCCCCCCCACCTTTTTTAAAAATCTCACCAACTCTAGTTCCACAAGCATTTATTGATCTAGGTCTTGTTCTAGGAGCTGGGGATATAGTATGAAGATAGGTACTCACTTTGACAGCTTTCAGGGCCCCTTCTCAGGGTGGTGAAAACACAGGACTTGGGCATCCACGATCTGGTGTGAGAATGGCGGCAGCTTCTGGTTCTGTGGAAATTGCATTGTTTGTGTGGGGCGTTGCTATTTCTCTCCGGATCTTGTAGCTGTAACCTGTTCTCAGAGATCCTCTTTGATCCTGTAGACCTGTGCCTCCTCTCTGGGATCTTGTGGATCCTGTTGACCCCCTCCCCTGCTCTGCCATCTTTAGGCTGTCACTCTTTGATACTGGCTCCTATCATTGGCAGGAAGCAGGGTTGGCGGAGATGCTCGGTGCCGGGAAAACCCCAGCGCAAAGCGGGCACTTAACATTTGAAGGTCGTAACGGCTAAACGCGGGAGGGTCAGCGGAGGCAAGCTCGGGGGGGTGTCCGCGGGTGCTGGGAACCGAGCACGGGCGGGGTCTGTTCGGAGAGATCCGGACGTCAGACCGGATCAGGGGAGTCTGACTGGAACCTGGTGTGTAACGGTTCCTGCTTGTGGTTGCTTCCGTTTTAGAACCCTGGGGTGCGAATGTTCAGGGATCAGGGCAAAGCGGGACTCTCAGCTTAGGGTACCCGGGTCTCACCTGGTCACCATGAATAACCAGGCGCGGAACCCCGCTCCCTCCCCAGCCCGGGCAAACACCCCGTCCCGGACACCGACTCCCATCCGAACCGCTACCCCAGTCAGAGTCTCGAGCCCGGCTCACAACCCGACTCCGGTTCGAACCTCCACCCGAGCTCCTGCCCAGGTCCCGACTCCTCCAATCCGGTTTCCAACTCCAGCCGCATCTCCAACTCCTGCTCCAGCCCGATCCCCAGCACCGGTGCGGACCCCAGCACCGGTGCGGACCCCAGCACCG